GGTGTTTCAAAGTATTTCGATAAAGTTTATTCTTCTGTTTCACAGATGTTAGTATACCATGTGAGAGCCAAGGCTTAATTGGGTTCTTGTGAATTTTTGTATTTTTGACTTTTACAGGGAAATGTTCATCATATTTTCTACTAATTTTGTCTGCAAATAAATTATAAGCCACATTTACATCAACCTTTTCATTAATTATACCAGTCCAATCTATATCTTTCAATGAATCACTAAAATTATTAATTGCACTCAATGGATATTTCCTAAAAGTGATTTGTTTATTTTCACAAACATTTTGATGGTGTGATGTAAGGGCAAAGATAGGATGGTGATCAGAAATGGGAAATGAAAGAAGACCACTTTTGATTACATTATTTGAATTAGAAAAGATATTATCAATAAGCGTAGCACTTTTTCTGTTATTCTGGTAGGTTTAAAAATCAATGGGTTGTAAGATTGGGAGTATAATAGATTAAGAAAATTCAACGTTTGTGCATCACTTTCAGTTTTAAGTAAATCAATGTTGAAATCACCCATTATAAAAGAAATGTTATGTTCCCTATCAATTTTAGAAAGTAGACTCTCAAAACTTTCAAGAAAAGATGCCATGTCTGTATTTGGTGGTCTATATATTATAGTAATAACCATATTTTTCTCATTTTTTCTAGGAATTTCAATAGATAGAGATTCACATGCTTTATAATCTAATTTGAGGTCATCCCTATGTTTAAAGTCAATGCCTTTTAAAATATGAAGTGCAACACCACCCCCTGGTCTATCTTTCCTAGAGTTAAAAATACTATTATAATTAGAATCATTTTCCTCATAAATAGGCTCTAAGTTTGATGTAAGCCATGTTTCAGTCATACCAATAATTGAAAGATTATTTTTTAACAATTGCAACATATTATGGAATTTCCATTGATTTTTAGATACACTCCTCATGTTGATGTGTAACATACTAAGATCATTTGATTTTTGTAAGTGATAGTTAAATTGATCAATATTATTGTAGTTGCACTGATTAACTGATTGATTTATTTCAAAATCATGTGCAGTGAGAGGTTCATCCTTCTGTCTATTTTCTAAAGTCAGTGGATTAAAAATAAGACTTTCATAATCATTTATTGAAATTAAAGAAGGTGCTAAGTCAAGAAATTCAATTGGTGTTGCCTCATAAAATGGAAACATCTGCCATTTCATAACCTCTATATTTCTAGACATAACCAAAATGATAATAGATGCTAAATGAATGAACTGAATTAATTTGATTTGTTCTGCTCAAAACAAAAATGCACCATATTAGGTACATATTCCAATAAGGCAGGTTTTAAAGAAGTATGAGTAGTTCCACAGTAAATTGGATGGTAAATTATTTTAAGCAATATATCCTGTTTTTTAGCAGACTATGATAACAATTTGACATTAAAAACATGTTAAAATATACATTGATTAATAACTCATAAATTAAATTATGAGAACTTTTTATTTTGACCTACTTTACGGACACCATATCTCAAAAGTGGGTCAAAATACTTTCTGACGGCAAAAAAGCTATCGATATTAGCACACTCTTTGCTACCTGTATACAAAATTTCGAAGCAAATCATTAAAGTGTAATGTCAGAATCGCAAAAATAAGGTAAAACTATGAATTTGACCTAGATATTGACCAAAGCATTTTGGTGTCCAAATTTTAAAGCTAGATAGCCTTCGAGGTCCCCTTCTTTTATAGGCTTTCAGAATGTAAAGCTGAACTCAGTCTATATCTGGTATTTTACACTTCAAAAAATCTTTTTACTCATTGACATAACATGGGGCACCAAATTTAGCAATTTTTGAGCTCTCAAAACGCCATAACTTCCGAACCGAGAATCGGATTGAAATTTGGTTTGCAGATCCGAATTCCTGACAAAATTTTACCCCTAATTCATAATTCATACATTGAATTTGGAGAACCTTTTGTTTTGACCTACTTTCCAGATGCCATATTTCAAAATCAGTAAGAGTAATCAAAAAACGGATGGCACACTTATGAAAGGGCTGTTTATAAGCTGCATGATGAAAAAAGATGAAGATGTTTCGACGAAGATAATTGATAGAATATTGGAAATGTAAGATTTGACCCAGTTCTGGGATAGGATAGGATATAGAATAGAAAGGAAGGATAGGATAGGAAGGAAAGGATAGAAAGGAAGGATAGATAGGAAGGATATGATCAGACATGATAGGATGGAAGGATGGGTGATTTTTTCTATATTTTCTTCGCTACTCTTGACTTTCTATCAGGATGTCATCAGATCGATTTTTCTCGAAATTTTCAAAACGCCATAACTTGCGAACCGGAAGTCAGATCTAAATTTGGTTTGCAGATTCAGATTCCAGAGAAAGCTCTACACTTATTTCATAGCTCATATGTTAAATTTGATTAACT